TACTTTTAAACCCAACGTTCGCCAGGCGCTAACATCTTGCATTCCCGCTAATCTAGCGCAAATTTGTTTACATCTGCAGTGCACATAACATAACCTAAACTTAATTATTAACCTCGAGAGAAGACGAAAATGTTTCCGCAATAGTCTCACTTATACATAACAAAGGAGTTAAAATTTAACTTTATGCTATAAACAAAGAAGTTGAAAATATCTTTATACTATAACAAAATTAACTTTATACTTTATGCTATACTACACTTTATATACTATAACAAGGTTAAACTTTATGGCCCGTACTTTTAAAACCTTTTGCTTTTTCTCGCGTTTTTTTTTTCATTCGCCGAAGCGCTAGATTTATCAGGAATCCAAGATGTTAGCGCCTGGCGATCCCTTTCGTTCGCCAGGCCTGGCGAACACCTGCCTTAGTTTAAAAGTAAGGCCTCCCTCACTCAGATGTTCGCCTGGCGAAGCTTCGCCAGGCGAACGCCAGCATTGGGCGAAAGGTTTTAAAAATACTTTATATACTATATCAACCTTATACTTTTATACAAAAAATAACTTTATACTTTAACAAGAGTTTAAAAATTACTATTTTACTATTCCTAACTGATGTAAGATATATTGAACTGTAGGCCTACAAGGGTATCATTAAAGACGCCTCATTATAGGGCGATGGAGCACTACAGCTCTGTTTCTATAGCCAAAAGTAAACATGCCGCCATAAAAAACACTTCTGGTAATATTTGTGAAAAGAACATTATCCTTACAACCAAAATAACAACAACCTAAATCTAAATAAGTCATCTCGGGGGGTGGGGTAGGGGTAGGGGTAGGGGGTAGGAATACAGCTGATGTCTTGAGCTCTCGACTGGAAACATCGAAGGTCTTGAAAAAAATACGTATATACGTTATTTCATAACAAATTATGATTTTAAGATATTTAATAATTTCAATGTGATTCCTACATCCTATCATACACAAATATGTTACTAATTTATAATTTGAAAGCAAGAAAATGGTATTCAAATAGCTCTCTTCGCCAGGCTGTTCCAATATGATCTTTCGCCAGCCCTGGCGAACGTTCGCCAGGCATGATTTTAAAAGTACGAAATTCCGGATCGCCCGGCGAAACCCTTCGCCAGCCCTGGCGAAAGGTTTTAAAAGTACGGGCCTTATTCTCACAGACAGCAAGTCACAGCAAAGAATATCCATTGTAACAAATGGAATTAAAACTAAATCTTTAAAAAATCTTTAAATCCTCTTTTTTTTCTCCTTCTCTTCCTCTCTGCAGCTGGCGATTCGGCAGTCTGACGCTCGTGGTCTTGAGTGACTACAAACTCATCAAAGCCGCTTTCACGAAGCAGGAGTGCTCGGGGAGGCCGTGGATCTTCACCCTTCAGTACTTCACGTATTTCACCGGAAAAGGTACCGAGGGGGGTGTCTTGTTTGGGGGGGTTGGGGAGGGTGGAGGGGGAGGGGGAGGGGAGGTGGAGGGGGGGCTATGGAGGAGTGTTTTTTTTGTTGTTGTTTTTTTTGTCTGTCGATTTCCTGATTAAGTTTCATTTTCTAGATATTAATCGTGATATTTTGATTAAAGTTTACATGTTCAAATGTTGACTAATGTTTGCAAGTAATATTTAAGTTCTGAACAAAAGTCATATTCAAGTTATGAAGAAAGTTTCCAAATCAGTCAAATTTGAATAAAGCTCTCCAAGTAAATCAAATCTTAAATGAAGTTTGCAAGACATATTCTGAGTAAAGCTTGCTAGTCGGTCAAATCCTGAAGAAAGTTATTGTCATCCAAAATCTAAATAAACCTTGCAAATTATATAAAATTCTGAAGAAAGTTAAATCAGCCAATATCTAAATAAACCTTGCAAACCAGATGAAATCCTGAAGAAAGTTATCAAATTATCCAAAATCTAAATAAACCTTGCAAATTATATCAAATTCTGAAAAAAAAGTTAAATCAACCAAAACCTAAATAAACATCGCAAATTTTATTCAGATTCCGAATAGAGTTAACAGGCCTCTCTCCTCTTCTATCTCCATCTTCTTCCTCCCTCCTCTTCTATCTCTATCTTTCTCCTCCTCCTCTTCTATCTCCATCTTCTTCCTCTCTCCTCTTCTATCTCCATCTTCTTCCTCCCTCCTCTTCTATCTCCATCTTCTTCCTCCCTCCTCTTCTATCTCCATCTTCTTCCTCCCCATCTTCTTCTCCATCTTCTATCTCTTCATCTTCTTCCTCGTTTATCCCTCCTCCTTCTCTTCTATCTCCCATCTTATCCTCCCTCCTCTTCTATTCTCCTCTTCTTCCTCTCTTTCTATCTCCATCTTCTTCCTCCCATCCTCTCTCATCTATCTCTTCTATCTCCATCTTCCCTCCTCCTCTTCTATCTCCATCTATCTTCATCTTCTTCCTCCCTCCTCTTCTATCTCCATCTTCTATCTCTATCTATCTCTCTCTATCCTCCCTCCCTCCTCTTCTATCTCCATCTCTTCCTCCCTCCTCTTCTATCTCCATCTTCCTCCCCTCGCTCTATCATCTTCTCTTCCTCCTCCTCTCTATCTCCATCTTCTTCCCCCTCTCTTCTATCTCTTCTTCTTCTCCCTCCTCTTCTATCTCCATCTTCTTCCTCCCTCCTCTTCTATCTCCATCTTCTTCCTCCCTCCTCTTCTATCTCCATCTTCTTCCTCCCTCCTCTTCTATCTCCATCTTCTTCTCCCTCCTCTTCATCTCTATCTTCTTCTCCCCTCTTCTATCTCCATCTTCTTCCTCCTCCTCTTCTATCTCCATCTCCATCTCTCTTCTCTCCTCTCATCTCCATCTTCTATCTCCTCCATCTCTCTTCTTCCTCCTCCTCTATCTTCTATCATTATCTTTCTCCTCCCTCCTCTTCTATCTCCATCTTTCTCCTCCCTCCTCTTCTATCTCCATCTTCTTCCTCCCTCCTCTTCTATCTTCTCCTCCCTCCTCTTTCTTCTCTTATCCCTCCATCCTCCTTCCTCCCTCTTCTATCTCCATCTTCTTCCTCCCTCCTCTTCTATCCATCTTCTCTCCTCCCTTCCTCTTCTATCTCTATCTTCTTCCTCCCTCCTCTTCTATCTCTATCTTTCTCATCTCAATCTTCTTCCTCCCTCCTCTTCTATCTCCATCTTCTTCCTTTCCCTTCATCTCTTTCCATATCTCCATCTTCTTCCTCCCCTCCTCTTCTCTATCTCTTCATCTTCATCTTCCCTCCCCTCCTCTTCTATCTCCATCTTCTTCCTCCCTCCTCTTCTATCTCCATCTTCTTCCTCCCTCCTCTTCTATCTCCATCTTCTTCCTCCCTCCTCTTCTATCTCTCCATTCTATCTTCCTTCCTCCTCCTCTTCTATCTTCCATCTTCTTATCCCTCCTCTTCTATCTCATTCTTTTCCTCCTTCCTCTGTCTATCTCCATCTTCTCCTCCCTTCCTCTTCTATCTCCATCTTCTTCCTCCCTCCTCTCTCTCTATTCTCTATCTTTCTTCCTCGCCTCTCTTCTATCTTTCTTCTCCCTTCCTCCCTCCTCTTTCTATCTCTATCTTCTTCCTCTCTCCTCTCTATCTCCATCTTCTCTCTTCTATCTCTCTTTCTCCTCCTCTCTCCTCCTATCTCCCATCTTCTTCCTCCCTCCTCTCTATCTCCATCTTCTTCCTCCCTCCTCTTCTATCTCCATCTTCTTCCTCCCTCCTCTTCTATCTCCATCTTCTTCCTCCCTCCTCTTCTATCTCCATCTTCTTCTTCTCTATATCTTCTCATCTTCTATCTCTATCCTCCTCTCTATCTCTATCTTTTCTCCTCCCTCCTCTTCTATCCCATCTTCTTTCCTCCCTCCTTCTTCTATCTCCATCTTCTTCCTCCCTCCTCTTCTATCTCTATCTTCTCCTCCCTCCTATCTTTCTATCTCCATCTTCTTCCTCCCTCCTCTTCTATCTCTATCTTTCTCCCCCCTCCTCTTCTATCTCCATCTTCTTCCTCCTTCCTCCATCTTCCATCCTCTCTATCTCCATCTTCTCTCCCTCCTCTTCTATCTCTATCTTCTCCTCCCTCTCTTCTATCTCCATCTTCTTCCTCCCTCCTCTTCTCTCCATTCTTCTATCTCTATCTTTCTCCTCCCTCCTCTTCTATCTCCATCTTTCTCCTCCCTCCTCTTCTATCTCCATCTTCTTCCTCCCTCCTCTTCTATCTCCATCTTCTTCCCTCCTCTTCTATCTCCATCTTCTATCTCATCTTCTTCCTCCCTCCTCTTCTATCTCCATCTTCTTCCTCCCTCGCTCTTCTCTATCTCTATCTTCCTTCTCATCTCATCTTCCATCTCTTTCCCTCCTCTTCTATCTCCATCTTCTTCCTCCCTCCTCTTCTATCTCCATCTTCTCCTCCCTCCTCTTTATCTCCATCTTCTTCCTCCCTCCTCTCTTCTCATCTATCTCCATCTTTCTCCTCCTCCTCTCCTCTTCTATCTCCATCTTTCCTCCCTCCTCTCTATTCCTCCTCTTCCTCTTCTATCTCCATCTTTCTCCTCCCTCCTCTTCTATCTCCATCTTCTTCCTCCCTCCTCTTCTATCTCCATCTTCTTCCTCCCTCCTCTTCTATCTCTATCTTTCTCATCTCAATCTTCTTCCTCCCTCCTATCTATCTTCTTATCTCATCATCTTCTTCCTCCCTTCTTTCTATCTCCATCTTCATCTCCATCTGCCTCCTCCTTCTTCTATCTCTATTCTCTTCTCCCCTCCTCTTCTATCTCCATCTTCTTCCTCCCTCCTCTTCTATCTCCATCTTCTTCCTCCCTCCTCTTCTATCTCCATCTTCTTCCTCCCTCTCTTCTATTCATCCCTCCCTCCTCTTCTATCTCCATCTCTTCCTCCCTCCTCTCTATCTCCATCTTCTTCCTCCTTCAGTCTCTTCTTCTATCTCCATCTTCTCCTCCCTCCTCTTCTATCTCCATCTTCTCCTCCTCCAATCTTCTTCCTCCCTCC